ACTCACGGAATAGGGGGGGCTGTATTCCCGGTATTTCCTGGAATGCCCCTTTTCCGCGGGGCTGTATTCCGAGTCGTCGCTGTAGTCGGAGAAGTCGTCGCTGGAGGAGGCGTGCCGCTGGAAAACCCCGGAAAAACCCCGGAAAATGTCACTCCAGAGCCCCCTCCCGCCCCTTCCCGGCCTCTGGAATTCGCCCCCCGAGCCTCCCTCCGGCCTCTCATTCCCAAATTTTCCCTTTCATTCCCAAATTTTCCCTTTCAATCCCGAGGGGAGGTGGGTTTGGGATGAACTCCGACCCGGGGGGATTTTCCAGGGATCCCTGGAGCCAACTCCAGGGATTTCTGGGATCTGACAACAAACAGCCTGGATTTTGGGAATCCCGGGATTCCCAGTACTCATAGGGTAGGGAGCGCTGTATTCCCATTCCCAGAATTCCCAGTATTCCCAGTGACTCCCAGAGATGGGGGGGCTGTATTCCCATTCCCAGTATTCCCAGTAACTCCTGTAGCTGGGGGGGCTGTATTCCCATTCCCAGCATTCCCAGCATTCCTGGTGACTCCCAGAGCTGGGAGGGGCTGTATTCCCATTCCCAGTATTCCCAGTGCCTCCCGGAGCTGGGAGGGGCTGTATTCCCACTCCCAGTATTCCCAGCATTCCCAGTGCCTCCTGGAGTTATTCCCATTCCCTGTATTCCCACTCCACCCCCCCCTCTTGGTCAGAATTCCCAAAGGAAAATCCCCTTTTCCCCCCAAAACCCCCAGGATTTCAGACATTTCCGCTCCCCGGAGAAACAGAATTCCAAGGAATCTCAGGGGGAAGAGCCTCAACTCCCGGAAAAGCAGCTCCCAGGAGGGATTCCCTGCGGAATTCCAGCCTGGAAAAGGTCCCACCTTGTGCTTGGATTTCCGTTTTTTCTTGGATCTCCGTTTTTCCTTCTCCTTCCGCCGCTTCCGCTTCATCCTGCGGTGGGATTTCTCCTCGTCCGAGTCGCTGTGGTGCTTCTCCCCCTTCTCCCTCCGCCCTTTTTCCTGGGATTGGGTTTGGGAATGATCCTCCTCCCCCCCATCGTCCTCCAGCTCCCCCTCCTCCAGCTCCCCATCCTCC